TTTGCTTCTCTCCCCTGTGAGGTTTGAGCCAGTGGAGGCTGCCAGGGAAGCCTGGCTCATGAGCTCCACGGTCCTGCCTCCAAAGATGGCCCTTCCCCCATGGTTGGAACTGGGTGGCGGTCTCATGCAAGTTCCAGTCCACGGGAAGAGAGAGAGGGGAGATCTGGGCAAGCAGTTTCCTTCATTTCCTTTTAAGTGACATGGAAGTTACACACCCTCCTTCAGATCACAATTCTTGGGGACCACCTAGTGTTGTGGCCGTACCCAGCCCCAAGGGACTCTGAGAAATGCAAACTCTAACTGGCCCTCTGTCTGCCCATGTAAAATGTGCCTGCTGGGGCTTCCCTGGCGGTCCAGTGGCTAAGACTCTGCGCTTCCAATGCAGGGGGCGTGGGTTCGATCCCTGGTCGGGGAACTAAGATCCCACATGCCGCATGGCACAGCCAAATTTTTAAAAAAATGAAATGAAATGAAATAAAATAAAATGTGCCTGCCATGGAAGATGGGAGAATGGATTTGAAGGGGTCCAGGAAAACTGCCACATCCTGTTTTTGAAAAATTCCAGAGTACTGTCAAGATAAACTCTTAAAGTTTCCTGGACCTTTGTATTAATTTCCTGGGGTTGCTGTAACAAATTGCCACAAACCGGGTGGCTTAAAAGAGCAGAAATGTATTCTGTCACAGTTCTGGATGCTAAAAGTCCAAAATCAGCAGGGCCATGCTCCCTCTGAAGTCTCTAGGGGAGAATTTCTAGAAGTTTCTCTCCTAGCTTTTGATGGTTGTTGGCAGTCCTTACCATTCTTTGGCTTGTAGCTGCATCCCTCCAGTCTCTGCCTCCATCTTCATGTGACCTTCTCTGTGTGTCTTCTGTGTCTCTGTATCCAAATATCCCTCTCCTTTCTCTTGTAAAGACAGCGATCACTGGATTGAAGGCCCACCTTAATCCCATATGACCTCATCTTGACTGCATCTGTGAAGACCCAATTTCCAAATAAGGTCACATTCACAGGTACCACAGCTTAGGACTTGAACATATCTTTTTGGGGGATGTGACTCAAGCCATTAAGAATCTTCTTAAGACTAAAAGAAGCAGGAAGAGAGAGAGAGAGGGAGGGAGGGCGGGCTGTGCTAACTGAAATCAAACAAATTATGACAAGATATATCAGTCTCAAAAAGAACCCATAGTTTGTTCCAAAGCTCAGTGCCACCTTAATGCCACAGTCCAAGGACATATAGGCCTTTTTTCATTCCCTTCTCCGTGGGGACATTCCATCGCATTGCTGTAAGATACCTTGCTTAGGTAATGGAATTCAAGAACCATTGACAGCTTTCAGCTTTGTGGTGTGTGTTCCATTTGATGACCATAACAGCCCCAAAAAGAAGGTATTCTTACCTCCATCCCACAGAAATTGAAACTGCAGCTCAGGCTAAGTAACTTGCCTAAAGTGAAATGACTTCACTGTTGGTGGTGAAGCCAGGCTTGCAGCCTGGGTCTCCTCTCTCCAAAGATCCTGCTCTTCACGTGACATGGCTCTGAGTCCCAGTGAGTTCTCAGGGGGTACTGACAAAAGGGCTCACTCTTGTCTTGAGGGATTTGTGATCAGTGTCTGAGACCACACATGCTCTGCAGAGGTCTCCACAAACCCATGCGGGACCTGAATGCTAGAAAGTGCTGACAGCACAATCAGATACCCTTAGTCATCAGGATAAACAAAACCTCTGTTAGGTAGCTAAAGGACACTTGTTTGCCCAGGAGTCAAGGCTTGTCCAACATCAGAGTCCAGGTTTCTCACTGCATTCTAGAACATTATACATTCAACTCAAAAAGGCTTATTTTTCAGACCTTCATCAGCATATTGATTGGTGGTTCGATTACTACTTTACCAAGTCCAATTGACCCTTGAACAACATGGGTTTGAACTGCACAGGTTCACTTACAGGCGGATATTTTTCAATAGTAAAAACTACAATACTACACAGTCCAATGTTGGTTGAACCCATGGATGTGGAGGAACCATGGTTATAGAAGGCCAACTATAAGTTATATGTGGTTTAACCCTGAGTTGTTCAAGAGTCAACTGTATTATGAGATTGCCCATCACCATGGGGCCCTCCTATAGTTGCCAGCTATGCCATCACACATATACTAAAGACTTCAGATAGAGTTCCCTGGAGTGTGTAATGCAATTAGTAGTTGCCATAGGAAACTGGGTCTCCTAATGGTCCCAGAGAGGTGATGATTGTGATAATAACCGATATTAAGTCACATTTCCATTCATTATTTCATTTTAATATTGACTTTTCTTTCTTATTGTTAAAATCTTATTTGTACAGCTTTATTATAGAAATTTAAAAAAACATAGACAAAGAAGATAAAATACTAATCATTCATAATTCCTCCACTCAGAGATAACCAATGTCATTAATCTTGTGTATATTTTTTAGTCTTTTGTTTTTCTTAAGACATCTTTCTTTGCGATTAAGATTTTTTAATTTTTTAAAATTATTTTATTTTTGGCTGTGTTGGGTCTTTGTTGCTGCATGCGGGCTTTCTCTAGTTGTGGTGAGTGGAGGCTACTCTTCGTTGCGGCGCATGGGCTTCTCATTGCAGTGGCTTCTCTTGTTGCAGAGCACAGGCTCTAGGCACGCGGGCTTCAGTAGTTGTGGCACGTGGGCTCAGTAGCTGTGGCTTGCAGGTTCTAGAGTGCAGGCTCAGTAGTTGTGGCACATGGGCTTAGTTGCTCCGCAGCATGTGGGATCTTCCCGGACCAGGGCTTGAACCTGTGTCCCCTTCATTGGCAGGCATATTCTTAGCCACTGCACCACCAGGGAAGCCCGCAATTAAGTTTTCATTATTTTAATAATGGTAGGGTATTCCATTATGTCAACATACATTGTTTACTTAACTCTTCCTCTACTGTTGACATGTGAGTGGTTTCCCCCCTCATGTGTTGCTTATAGAAACAATGTTGTGTTGAAAACCTGGTGTTCGTCCATAACTACTTCCTAAGCCTACATTTCCAGTGTTTGCATTGCCAGATGAAAGGAGAAAAAAAATTTCCCTTGTTTCAGAGTTGAGGAAACTGAGGCTCAGAGAGATGAAGTATTCTGGCCAAACTCACACAGCTGGCAAGTGACAGAGCTAGACCTGAGATCCAGTTTTCCTGACTCTAAATCTCATATGGGAGAAGAGTTTCTGCATCTAATTATCACACTCGATAAATTCTGTGAATGCAAAGTAAATGCCCTGGCAACTACCTTCTTTTCTTGAATTGTCACCCAGCAGTGGTCAATCCAGACAAATTGCCAAAAACTGTCATCAGAGGAGAGTGGAAAGGCTATAGATAGTTGATTTCATTGGACTTTTCGTCTTTCTTCTTCAAGATGATAATGTTGACATTTTTAGAAACCTTTACAGACCCTTGGTATCCTGTACATTCCGGAATAACTGAAGCCATCTCTCCACTTCTAAATACTTATTTGATACCCCATTGGATTCTGGGGCTTTTAGTTCACCCTAGTTCTGAGAGTAGAGCTCATTTCCTCCAAATTTAGAGCCAAATTCCCCTTGTTTCCACTTCAACAGATTCCCTCTCCTTTCTAGGTGATTCAGCACACGAGTGAACCCATGGAATTGTTTCCTCCTTTGCCATAACTAGTATACCCTTGCTTTATCCATGCTTCTGACATCAGTAGCAGACTTTGGTTTGGGATGGCTGCAGACCAGGTGAGATTTCTTCAGTCATTACTTGCCTTGACCTGGTATGCTGACCAGGATCCATGGTCCATGAGGTATGATTATGTTGAGTATACAAGGACATAACATATGAGGAGTATCCATATACAAGGACGTAATATATGAGAAGCCTGACTTGCTTTGGGGCCCCAACTCCATAATCTTTGGGTCATCCTTGTCCAACCAGTTCTGGTAGCTTTGATTTGGGGCATTGAAGCTAGAGCCACGTGTTTGACAACATCCAAGCATGTCACCTACAAATCATTCAAGTCCGTCCCTGCCCTATTAGTAGCAAAGATGGACAATTTCAACAGATTTCAGAGGCATATAAGTAAAGCGTTTCCTGGAAAAGCATGGTAAAATATGTTGATCTTTACCTGAGTTGGATCATTCACTTACAAGATAAAACTACTCAATTCCAGAAGGCTAAGCTGGAAGTGTTAATAGTTGTCAGTTCACATCTCTGCCCAGAGCTCTCCAAGATCAAATTTAAGTTAACCAAGTAATATCTAATGGGTAACTCCATTTTCAGGATAGAGACTTGATAAAAGGAAATCAATGTGAAAGAACAAAGATTCTTATTATTCTTACTGTCCATTAGTGCTAATCATACATTTGGCACCAGCAAGCCATAAGAGGAGAAATTACCCTCCCTAGGTATGGACTTTTCGTAATGCAGTGAATAGTCATCTCTAAAAGAGAAAGTGGATGTTTCCCAAATAAGTTTAGTCTCAAAATTTCTTTCTAGGATAGACTGATGGTCTCTTGATGTTGCCTTTGCTGGGGGACCAGGAATGATGTTTTGTGCTTGGAACTGTTTTGTCAAAGATAAAGGGAGGACTTGAAAGAGTGTATAGCTCTGTCCTGCCTGCCCAAAACTAAAAGATATTTCTGGGCACATGTGTCAGGAAATATGACCTAGAGATGGAGTGCAATCATAAACATTTTTTTTTAATTCAAACACCAGAAAAAATTTCTCTTATTCATTCCCATAACCACTTTTCAAACTAAAATTAATTTTTTTGTGTGTGTTGTAAAAAGTACCTCGATTGGTAAAGGAGCTGAAGTATTATCGTCGAAACAGCTCAACCTAGGCTCAAATCTAACATAAAAGAAACCTCACGTTAAAGTATAATTTATCTTCATAATTAGTATTTCTAAATGACTTTTAAAGGCTTTTTTTTTTTTTCTGCAAAAAGCTTTATTGTTTCCATTTGGTCCATGGCTTGGGAGAGGGCTCCAGTGTGGTTAACAAGCTGCATACTGGCCACAGAGCGGGGCTTCAGGCAGAAGGCCTGACACCAGAGGGGCTCCTCAAAGGCCACTGGGCTCCGGAGGCTCCTAGTCATGCTTGAGGGTGAGCCTTTCGAAGAGATACTCGCCCAGCCCAGCCTGGGGACCAGCAGCCTGTGGAGGTTGGTCAGGTGGTCACCCATCTTCTTTTTTTTTTTTTTGCGGTACGAGGGCCCCTCACTGTTGCGGCTTCTCCAGTTGCGGAGCACAGGCTCCGCACGCGCAGGCGCAGCGGCCATGGCTCACGGGCCCAGCCGCTCCGCGGCATGCGGGATCTTCCCAGACCAGGGCACGAGCTCGCGTTCCCCTGCATCAGCAGGCGGACTCTCAACCACTGCGCCACCAGAGAAGCCCCACCCATCTTCTTGATGAGTTTCACCTCCTCATCTAGGAAGTGGCTCTCCAGGAAGTCGCAGAGGTGGGGGTCTGCACGGGCACAAGCCAGGGCGTGCAGATCCAGAAGGGCCTGGTTCAGGTTCTTGTCCATGTTAATGGCGGCTTCCATAGCGTCCTGAGTTTTACCCCACTCGTCTTGAGATGGCTTCTGCAAGTCCTGGAAGTGGGCGCGGCCGCCGCGTTGGTTTTGCATTTTCAAGAGATGCTCGGCGCTCTCGTGCTTCTCTTCGGCCAATTCGCGGAAAAAGTGGCCCACGCCCTCCAGAGCCACGTCGTCGCGGTCGAAATAGAAGCCCAGAGAGAGGTAGGTGTAGGAGGCCCAGAGATGCATGTTGACCAGGCGGTTGACGGTGGCCTCCACCTCGGTGGAATAATTCTGACGAATCTGGGAGCTCATGGTTGATCGGTAATAAGGAGTTCGGCTCAAAAAATGGTGTTGGCTGGTCCCGGTGACCGAGGATAGCTGAGTGGCTGACTCCGAAGGTTGGAGGGTGGTCGGAGGCTGGAGGAAAGGGCGACCCTAGGTCTGTTCCGTTCAAACACTGTTGAAGCAAGAGACAGATCTGGGGAACCGCCGAGTACAATCCTTTTAAAGGCTTTTTAATGCAATTAAAAATGTTTGATTGTCGTAATGTTGCTAATGTTTTGATGCCTTCCTAGTGTTGTCCTTGGTCCCTGCAACCCTGGCACATAATTTATTTCTCTTTTGAGTGAACCCTAAGCATTAGTGTCCATTAAGAATTTTTAAAACAAAGTCCACAGATTACTTGGAGCACTTTCAATAATATGTACTGATTATCATTAATAGCTCTTTTGTCCTAGACAAGGACATTGTTTTGTAACATCATTTTGTTTGGCGAGGCCCTATTCGGGCTGTGTTCCTGATCTGAATCCTGCACTGATTCTCTCCTTGACAGTGTGGAATAGAGCAAGCTCATGGGACAAGTCAGGACTGGGGCGAGCGGGGACACAGGCCAGCACAAAGTGATAGGTTTTCTTTATGAAACAATTGTTAGCCATTCAAAAAAAAAAAAAAAAGCCTTCATGCTGGGCCTTGATTCTTATCTTATGTTCTTACGCTGCATATAAATTGCTGTTTTAACTACCAGCTCCTTACAATGAGGAAGTGAAAGAGAAGGACAGGAGGGAACAGGTGGACCCAGACGATCTCAACCTTATCACTGTGTTTGTTGGTTTTATGGCAGGAGGGGGGATCTAATCTTCCAGATTTTAGTCTGAAAGTTCTGCCCTTGCTCTCAAACGTTTATTTACCAGATTATCCGCCTCTGTAACAGCAGGGCTCTAATTAACGGGTATTGCCTGTCTTCACCCAAGGGGTAGCTCTCTGTTTATCCAGTGCAAAGTATCTGCAATTAGAAACATCTTTAAAAGGAAAGAGACACTCTGCTATGTGTCCCACGTGAATGGCCTTATTTAAGTCTTACTATAAACCTAGCACTGAGAATTTTATCCCCATTTTATGGATAAAGAAACAGAGGTTCAAGAATGGTTAAGCCATTCTCCCAAGACCACGACTTGAATAATGCGTATCTTATTTAATGCAGGCGTCTTGTGAGGAGGGAGAATAAATCTTGCAAAGGCCTTCGTATTTGGAGCCCTCCTTTTCTAGAAATGAAATGAAGAGTTAGTGTTGTGGGGCTTGTGTACATGCATGTAACAAGCTGGTCCATTACAGAACAGGTTTTGTTAATTATCATTCAGCACCTCTCCTTCTCCCTGCCACACACACTCACTTGAAATAGAGAAACACTGATCTATTTAAAAACAAAAAGAAGAAAAGAAAAACTGCACAGAATCTTATTTTAGGTTTTTTTTTATTGAAGTATAGTTGATTTACAATGTTGTGTTAGTTTCAGTTGTATAGCAAAGTGATTCAGATATATATATATATATAAAACATATATATATAACATATATATATAAACATATATATATGTTCTTTTTCAGATTCTTTTCCCCCTATAGGTTATTACAAGATATTGAATATAGTTCCCTGTGCTGTACAGTAGGTTTTTGTTGTTTATCTCTTTTATATATGGTAGTGTATATCTGTTATTTCACATATTTTTTGTTGTGTTTGTTTTTCTTTCTGTTTTTTATTCTAACACAGAACTTATACATGTTGCATATATCTCTGTCTCAACACTTGTTAACTCATTGTGAGAGAGGACAAGAGAAGGCACACAGGCTGAATATTAGCAAGGTGGCAAAAGGACATCTTTGTAGCTAGGCACTTGTCCAAAATGCAGGGCCTCTGGAAATGCCATTGTGGTAATTGGTATGTCTGGGGAGAAGGAAAGATGCCATTTCTTACCAAAAAAAAAAGTTAAAATAAACTTGGTACCCACACAATTGCCTAGAAACCAAGAGACGGTAAGAAGTCCATCAAACAAGTTAATTGGTCCAAGATTTGGCACTGATTGGAAAAATCAGATTCTATCCCTCAAGTGCTCTGCTCTTGCCATAACTGTAACTCTGAAACTGCTGATACCCTGACAGTGATAAATTTGTAGTATTTTCATGACATTTTCTTTGCTTTACTTTGAAGCATAGTCGGCTAAATAGAGTCAGGGAATTTTGCTGTATTAGAGGTCCTAGTTTGGGGAGAGTCGTTGTGGAGATTTTTTCCTCTTCATTTTAAGGATATTACTGGTCAATTTAAAATTGTTATCATAGTGTTAAGTTAGAAGTTACTCTGAAGCATTACCTGAGTATGTTTCTCTCTCTCTATATATATATATATATATATATATAAAATGGGCTGGGTAAGATTATGAGTCTCACAACTTTATCAAAAGGCACCATTTTTCTCTAGCCCAGATAATTTAAAAATATCACCCAAAAGAAGTGTATCTTTTACTTATACAACGTTTTGTGGATACTGCCTTCTTTCTTCTTTGGTTTTTAAAAGCAAAAAGAAAAAAGTTTCAGGGAGTTGCCCTTGATTGTGAGATACATTAGATTTTTTTCACACTGAGAAGTAGATCTGGCAGCCTGTTGCTTAGAAGAAGTTTGGTTTGTTAGCTTGAAAGCACGGCAAGGAGTCATTGATCAAGGCTCTAGAAGGGAAATCAAGAAAGCGTGTAGTTCAGCTATCTCATTCTACAGATGAGAAAACTAAGGCCCAGAGAAGTTAAGTGACTTTCCCAAAACATCCAGCAAGGTCACTTTTGGTTCACGGTTTGTGAGTGCTTTGCATTTAGAGAGTTGGTTCCACCCATCACTCTTCCACAACTCCACGAAGTCCCAGTCTCTGTGGTGTGCATGCCTCTTGCTTAGTGGTCTGTTTGTGAATCTCTGGGGAAGGATCTTGGTGTCACTTCCCAGGCATTGGGAAGTATATCAAAACCTTCACAACATCTGGACTTGGTTTGACACCCTTTGGTGGTGGTGATCCAAGTCCTTTGCCCACTTAGCTTACCTGCCCATGAGCAAGTATCTTCCCTTGATTTTAGAGAGTAGAGTCCAGGGGAGTTTGGGGTCTAGAACAGAGTACACTTGCTTTTAGAAACTCGGTTCTCTGTCTTATGCTCTCCTCCAGCAGATATGAATTTTGAAGTCAGAGCCCTTGGTCTGAAAATCAGAATCCCGGGCTATGAGTCAGTGTGAAACCCAAGAAATCATGAGCAGCTATGACATAGCTTTCAGTAGAACATTCTAATTCACCTTTGTTAAAGTAAGACTGTGTGCATTGCCCACCTTTTGTGAAAGTTAATAATTAACATTTATATCACACTTCCCACTTTGTAAAGGTCTTTACACATCCTTATTTTGTATGGATTTTCACAACAGTCTTTTAAGTATTATTATGATTATATACAATTATAGAGACCTGGAAATTCAGGCCCAGAGAAGTGAAGTAAGTTGCCCAAGGTCTCTTAGCCTTGGGTAGGAAAGTGGATGGACTAAGAATGTAAGTTCAGGTCAACTTGACTCCAAATCCAGTTATCTTAAAAACTGTCTTTACATGGACATATATACACTACCAAACGTAAGGTAGATAGCTAGTGGGAAGCAGCCGCATAGCACAGGGAGATCAGCTCGGTGCTTTGTGACCACCTGGAGGGGTGGGATAGGGAGGGGGGGAGGGAGGGAGACGCAAGAGGGAAGAGATATGGGGACATATGTATATGTATAACTGATTCATTTTGTTATAAAGCAGAAACTAACACACCATTATAAAGCAATTACACTCCAATAAAGATGTGAAAAAAAAAACTGCCTTTAAAAAGTTTATTCTTTTCCACTTCTGGGTAGAATTAGAGCTATTTGCCTCCTAAACACTCATCATAATTTATCTTTAGAAAACCCAGCTCTCCCGGAATGGTCGATTCAGGGTCACTGCTAGTAGCATTAGGTTTGGATAAGTCTTACCCCTTCCACTTGAGGACAAAGATGGACAGCGTAGACTGCTGTGATTTCAGAAAGGATGAGCTCTATGGCGAGAAAGACAGGAATCGTGCAGCCTCTGGGGAAATGAGAAGAAAGAGAAACGGAAGACCCAGCCATCCCATTTAAGGAGGAGGGGTATGAAGAAATGGCTGCTGGTTGCAAACCAGGGCACACAGACCTCTCAAGTATCTCTTTCACCCAAGCCCTGGTGGGGATTCCTGGCTTAGCTAAGGCTGGGGGACAGGACCCTGTAAGTTTAAATTAGTTATAGAGCTGACTGCTGACTAATATGCTTTGGGGAGTAAATCTTTTTTTTTTTTTTTTTAATATTTACTCTTATTAGATGCACTATCTATACCAGGGTTTTTCTGGTTTTTATTGAAGTATAGTTGGTGTATAATATTATGTAAGTTACAGGTGTATAATATAGTGATTGACAATTTTTAAAGGTTATACTCCATTTGTAATTATTATAAAGTATTGACTATGTTCCCCGTGTTGTATAGTGTATCCTTGTAGCTTATTTACACGTAATAGTTTGTACCTCTTAATCCCCTCCCCCTCTCGCCCCTCCCCTCCACTGGTAGCCACCAGTTTGTTCTCTATATCTGTGATTCTGTTCCTTTTTTGTTATATTCACTAGTTTTGTTGTATTTTTTAGATCCACATGTAAGTGATATCATACAGTATTTGTCTTTCTTTGTCTGACTTATTCCACTGAGCATAATACCTTCCAAGTCCATCCAGGTTGCTGCAAACTGCAAAATTTCATTCTTTTTATGGCTGAGTAATATTCCATTATATATGTATGTGTGTGTGTGTGTACCACATCTTTATCCACTCATCTGTTGATGGAAACATAGGTTTCTTCCTTATCTTGGCAATTGTAAATAATGCTGCTATGAACATTGGGGTGCACGTATCTTTTTGAATTAGTGTTTTTGTTTTTTATTCAGATATATTCCCAGGAGTGGAATTTCTGGGTCATTTGGTAGTTCTGTTTTTAGTTTTTTGAGAAACCTCCATACTGTTTTCCCCAGGGGCTACACCAATCTACATTCCCACCAACAGTGTTCAAGGGCTCCCTTTTCTCTGTATCCTCACCAACAATTGTTATTTGTGTTCTTTTTGATGATAGCCATTCTGACCAGTGTGAGGTGATATCTCATTGTGGTTTTGATGTGCATTTCCCTGATGATTAGTGATGTTGAGCATCTTTTCATGTGCCTGTTGGCCATTTGCATGTCCTCTTTGGAGAAATGCCTATACAGGTCTTCTGCCCGTTTTTTAATTGAGTTGTTTGCTTTTTTGATGTTGAGTTGTATGAGCTATTTATTTATATTGGATATTAACCCCTTATCAGTCATATCATTTGCAAATGTTTTTTACCATTCAGTAGGTTGTCTTTTCATTTTGTCGAAGGTTTCCTTTGCTGTGCAAAAGCTTTTACGTTTAATTAGGTCCCATTTGTTTATTTTTGCTTTTATTTCCTTTGCTTTAGGAGAGAGAGCCAAAGCAAATATTGCTACAATTTATGTCAAAGAGTGTCCTGCTTATGTTTTCCTCTAGAAGTTTTATGGTTTCCAGTCTTACATTTAGGCCTTTAATCCATTTTGAGTTTACTTTAGTATATGGTGTTAGAGAATGTTCTAATTTCATTCTTTTACATGTAGCTATCCAGTTTTGCCAGCATTACTTACTGAAGAGGCTATCTTTTCTCCACTGTATATTCTTGCCTCCTTTGTCGTAGAAGAATTGACCATAAATGCATGGGTGTATTTCTGGGCTCTCTCTTCTGTTCCATTGATCTATGTATCAGTTTATGTGCCAGTACCATAATGTTTTGATTACTGTAGCTTTGTAGTATATTCTGAAGTCAGGGTGCGTGGTTCCTCCAGTTCCATTGTTCTTTCCCAAGATTGTTTTGGCTATTTGGGGTCTTTTGTGTTTCCATATAAATTTTAAAATTATTTGTTCTAGTTCTGTGAAAAATGCCATTGGTATATTGATAGGGAATACATTGAATCTGTAGATTGCCTTGGGTAGTATGATCATTTTAACAATATTAATTCTTCCAATCCAAGAACACCATGTATCTTTCTCTTTTTGTGTCATCTTTAATTTCTTTCATCAGCGTCTTATAGTTTTTGAGTACAGTTCTTTTACCTCCTTAGATAGCTTTAAATACATACCATGGACTCACTTCCCATCAGATATTAACTTTCTACAGAAAACTTTTTATTGTGATGATTAAATTGTCCTTAGTTGACCCATCTGTGAAATGAGAAGGACATTTTCTTTTTTTTTTTTTTTTTTCACTTCTGTGGAGTCAGTTAATATGAAGAACTGGAGCTTCTATAGAGAAAGGAGAGACACAAGACATTAGTGTGAGCACAGTTATTTTTCAGGAGAGGAGAAGGAAGGGAATTCCAATAAATTTTCTGATTGTTTCATTAAATTTGTCTTTTGTGTGTTCACTTTCAGTTCGTTTGCTTTTCCTAGAGAAATAGAATTTTGTCTTCATAATGGCTATTAAGTAAAAACATTGAAAAAAAGAAAATATTATGCACAGTTATGTCTCCATAATTAGGAGTTGTAATGCACTTTAAAAAATATTGCTTTTGTGAGAGGGATGTGTTTTTTAAGCCTTTCTCCATAAAAGTGTATCTATTAATTTATTGTTATGTTTTTCCTTGCATGTGATAGATATAATTTACATTTTATTTGTATAGGTTAGGGTTGCCAGATAAAATACAGGATGCTCAGTTACATTTGAATTTCAGATAAACAACAAATTGCTAGTGTCTGAAATTTAAGTGTAACTGGGGATCCTGTATTGTTTCTGCTAAATCTGGCAACTCTTGTGTAGGTATATCTCCCAATTACTTGTACTGATCGCTAATTGGCAGTTAAACGAAACTGAGGGGTCGAGTTTGTGCTTTTACAGAAGTCATGCTGTCTCTTGGAGACAGAAATGAGAAGTTTAGCTCCGTGCTGCTGTGATCTCAAGGATCAGGCAGCTTTCCTGGAAAGATTTTCAAAATCTATTATCATTATAATCGTCATGAAAATATTTGATGAGAATACTGCATCACACTGTATAATAAATTTAAGTAGAAAAGTCAAAGCAGTGGTATTTTCATCAGGCCTTTGGGTGTCAGGAGAAAATAGTTCCACACTCAGCGAATATAGATAGGTCTGTTTGGGGCTGTGTTAAATCCAATTGTGTGAAGGTTCTGAATAATCAGGAGTGACAGCATAAGCACTTTCTCTTCAAAGTGATTTTACCAAAAGCATCATTTCCTAAGGAAAGTACACATATAGCTCTCATAATGCTGAAAGAGCACTAAAGTATCCGTTTATTGGTGCTGGTGTCATGAGCTGGAGTTGCAAGTGGTATTCAGATTTTCAGCTTGATTCACTGCTCCTGTTGGGGGCAGTTCCCTTCCCATGAAAAAGCTTATTTCAAAAACTCCTCAAACCCTTTGGTTAGTTCCCATGTGAGAGAGCCTTCAAGACTCTTGCAGAAGCTTCTAACTTCACCATGCGAAGCCAAGTCAAACACGATGAAAAACAATAGTTGTGTTTTTCTCCGTAGAAAGGGGGGGAAAAAGAATTTGAGTTGGGCTATGTAATTTCAGCTTCCCTAAATAAGTCCTGTGGAAATTTGTGGGGGAACAAGTGTGTGATTTTGGTCTTGGTGCACAATTTTGGCACTAGCTTTTTTTTTTTATGTCCACCATGGATTTTTTTTTAAACATCTTTATTGGAGTATAATTGCTTTACGATCGTGTGTTAGTTTCTGCTTTATAACAGTGAATCAGATATACATATGTCCCCATATCTCTTCCCTCTTGCATCTCCCTCCCTCCCACCCTCCCTATCCCACCCCTCTAGGTGGTCACAAAGCACCGAGCTGTTCTCCCTGTGCTATACCATGGATTTTCATAACGGATTTCTTCCCTGTCCGATACATTCCCTAGCTAAGTAATAGGTCTGATATGAGTGCCAAATTTTTCAACAGTGTTACTTTCCAGAGGAGGGTTAAATAGTTATTTTAATAACTTGAAAGAAAAAAAGACACACAAGGTTTACCACACTTCTTAGTCACAGGCTAAATGTTTTCAAGAGCTTTATGATTTTGAGCCTATTTGGTCTCAAGAATATCCCCCAAGAAGAATGAAGCATACAGAATTCAAAATGGAGCACTTCTGAAGTGGTGATAGCACTGTTTGCACTGAAGTGTGCGTTCACGTTATCTTTCTGCGGTCTTATGTGCAGAATCTTGCCCAGTTCCACTCTTCACCCGCTCTCTATAAAGCATCTTAGGAGTATCAAGGGTGCTGACTCATGAGCCCCTTATGTTTTCATATAGTTTTTGTTCATTGTGCTGCCATTGCCAAGAAGTAGCCGTCATTCCCCTTCTGACTTTAACGAGTATAGACAGAGAGGTACATTTTGTGGATGTATTTTCCCTCACCATTAAAAGTGATGCTTCATGTAAGCACAAAGAGCCATTTTCATTAAAAAGTAAACACAAAATCAATGGCCAGAGCAAATTCATTGCTCTGTGGCTCAGTTCACTCTTGTCTAAGTTGGCTTCACACTCGTGCCTTAAATCTTCCCCACTCTGCCTATAAACATGATCATCTCCCCTATTTAAAATCAAAAATAAGTCTTCTCCGGCTTCCCTGGTGGCGCAGTGGTTGGGAGTCGGCCTGCCGATGCAGGGGATGCAGGTTCGTGCCCCGGTCCGGGAAGATCCCACATGCCGCGGAGCGGCTGGGCCCGTGAGCCATGGCCGCTGAGCCTGCGCGTCCGGAGCCTGTGCTCCGCAACGGGAGAGGCCGCGGCAGTGAGAGGCCCGTGTAATGCAAAAAAAATTTTTTTAATTTAAAAAATAAGTCTTCTCTCACTCTGTTTTATTACTGTCCGTGCTGCTACTTTTTTACCACAGAACCTCTTAAGCCAGTAGGCCATGCTTGCTGGCCCCATCGTTAATAGTTTTGTTACACTGGGGTAGATCCAGTGATGCTGTATATGAGATGAAGATGCATCTTGCCTCTGCATCCCCATCTGAACAAAATGCGTTTCTGAGTACACTGGGGATGATGTACATTCTAAGAAGTGCACACAGGCTCCTTTCTTACCTTTGTCATTGTTTCTTCTCTTCTAGGTATCTCAGTAACAAAGAAGACGCATACATGTAAGTAATGCATTTTTTTTTTGTCCAAAGTTTTCTGAAGAGTTGGAATTCGCATATGTCTGGCTGCTGTGGCCTTTCAAGTATAAACTAATGTTTCAGCTGTGATCCATGGTCAACAGAGGTCATACTTCTCTACCTGTAGTGGTCGGAAGTGGTACATCTCCACCTGTTTGTACTGAGTGTGTGTTAAAGAGAGTCTAGACATAGTGTGATAAATTCTAGCGATTCAAGCCACTCATCTTTAGAAAAACCATAAAATCTAGCCAGGAGGATCAATTAATTACTTACTGATCACCCTTACTCTGGATCCTTCTTAGACGAGTTGGTATGTTTCTAGGAAACATCACCTTGATTTCTTTTAAACTTTGGTCTCCTTTTCCTCACCACTAGTTCACGATTTAGGCCGTTTTGTACTTGTGTCTGTGGAGCAGAGATACTGACGGGGAATCTAGGCGCTGCCGCTCGTGTGGCCTTTGGGGGCCCTGGTAAATGGCATGGGTAGTTTGATGTGGAAATGTGCGCTGGATTTATCCTCTGTATTCATTCCCACCTCTCAGGTTCAACTGCTTTCATCAACTGCCTTCATATGAACTCCACCATAAGTTTACAAACTCACGTCAGTGTAAAGTGTTGTGATCTGCATTCTGAGCAATGATGTTTGGCTGTGCCTTGATTCTCAGGATGAAACCAATACGTCATTGATGGCAGGCAGTCAACTTTCACTGTACTTGACCAGCATATTATTTAGACTTTCGATTAAGAGTGTCATTAGAATTTGATAACTATTTCAGACCACAGATATGTGCTACCTACGAGATGTGTTTGGGCATCCTTCTAAGGCAAGCAATGGAGATATTTATGGCACAATTCAGGGCCGACAAAGACGTGTCCCCCAATTTTTCCTATTTATGCTTTGAAAATTTTTGATTTCATGTGAACAATTTGGAGGAAAAAGAAAATCTGTGTACCATCAAAGTAGTTTATCTTGTGCCTCACTTGATTCTTGAAATCTGCTCTTGGGTTTGTCTGTCTGTCTATCTGTATTTGTAGAAAACAAACATAAAAAGCAAAAAAACCAACCAAACAAACAAAAAAACCAAAAGCAACCCCATCCAATTTGATGGTTGCCTGACTTGTAGGGCCCAGTCCTGCTGTCTCTCCACGTGGCTCTCCCGTGGGCTTCAGTGGAATGTTTGAGGAAAGAGGCAAAGCTCAGGCCCGTAATGGACACATGCTCAGGACAGCACCTCATCTCTCAACACATGGTTCCAGTTGGCTGTCCCTCCACCAGGGTAGTCTGTGGCCCTTAGCGTTTTGGGGGTTGTTTTGTTGTCGTCGTTGTTGTTGTTCTTGCTGTTGTCGGTGCATAATTGAGCTCATGATGACTGAGAGATTGACAGTGCAGGAGACTGAAGTCCTCTGTATATCCGCAGGGCAGGCATGGTACAGAGCGCTTCCTTGCACAGCCTTGCCCATGAGCTCGTCCCTGGCCTGGTGGGACCCACTCTAGAGGTGGTAAGTAATTCAGTCTTTCTGCTAGCTCAGTCCTGGGCCTCTCCTGAACAGGGGCGGATGGTTGTGCCTACTGTTTATGGCGGTTTGGGGTATGGACTCCTGGCCACCTGGCAACATACAGAAAGCTGCTGACTGTTTGCATTATGACTTGGCTCCTGGATAAGTGGACAAAAACCACTAGTTCAACTCCACTGGATACAAAGAATACCCCTCAACGAATAGGACAGAGACCATAGATGTTACTTAATATATAGACCATCCATCCCTAAGGACCTTGAAGGAATTGTCATCCCTAAGGATAATTTCATTGGCCTATGGCAGAAATAATAACCCGTGGTTGGATTTAAATTCATGGAAGGTTGTGAGTGACAGCATGAGAGTGGTAGCTAGTGAAAAAAAGTGGCACTCCAGTAACAGGCAATAGAACAGGTTGGTCTTTCAGCAGAGGCTTAATGAACTCTATCAGCTGTACCTGCTTTAAAACAAAATCAAGATATAGCCAGAGTGGGTAGGTTTTGAGTGCCTTTCTAACTGTGAAAATCAGCAGGAAAATTCTTAGGGATTAAGCATAAGGTAAATGTAGAAAGATTTAAAGCTTCCTTTATGTAGTTCAAATATTAAATTGATAGAAAGATTTAGATCAGAAGTCATCTTGGTTTTTTTGGCCCACGTTTACTTTCATGATTTGGGGGAGAGGGCCCAAAATAAAACGGCCCAATGACAAGTTGGGGAGAAAGCTCCTGAAAAGACAGTTGACACAGAACTTTGCCCACGCCAAGGAGAAATTGAATTGTCCAAGTTGCATGTTAGTGAAAGTCTTCTATGCCACGTAAACATGGAGATTGTTTTTGTCACCCACCTCAGCAGACAGCCCATCATATTTCTGGTCTTAGCATCTCTATAGGCCCCACAACTGGTGAGAAGGAAGAAAACCAATCAGTTCTTTCTCTAATAACTATCACCCAAATGACTTCTTCTTTAGCATCTGTCGGATTTTTCTTGAAAACTGAACTGTCCTAATTTGCTGATAAGTTTTCTTGAGACGTTAAATTTCAGCTCCTCTTAAATCATCTTGACATCTGCTCTTTAAAAAGTTTCACTATCAGGGAAGTGTGCGAATTCATTTTTGGGCCGTCTCAAGACTTCTGATTTTAGCCAGGGTTCAGGAAACCTTGGTCAAGGCTTGACTACATATTCATCAACAGCTGAAGTCAGCTCACATTAGCAGTTTCAATCTGGGTTTCCTAACTGCCCGCCCAGAGAGATTGTTCCACTTACAAATGAACATGTACAGTTGCAGAATATATTATCAGACCCGAGTGTCAGCTCACAGGTACACCAGTCAGAGGCGCAAGAACTACAAGATGAACCTGAATAGTTGTGACACTTGATAATATTTTAGGCCACCTTGTTATCTAGAAAGTACAGGCATTGCTTCTTTAAAAAAATGCTTTGGGTGAGTTAAGCAAGAAATTCCCAGGAAAGGAAATCTGATTGTTAGCTTCAGAGAAATCCACAAGCGTGGTCTTTGGAGAACACAGATTCTCCTGAGTTCCTGGGATAGGACCGTCAGTGTTTGTCATTAACTTCACTTGGCAGGTGGGGGAAGGCAAAGCTTGGGGCATCTTGTACGAAGTCATCATGACCAGTTGGTCAAGGAGTTCTTACATTTGCAATGTTCTTCAGTTGTTGACAGGACATATTGCTGCTGGGTTTTGCTGTGTGAACATAAAAGAGAGTTTTTACTTGTGGGATAGGGATATACTCACGAAATTTTACACTGTGGTGTAGAATTTTAATTTTTCTCATTGATTATATAGGACCTGTATTTGATTGGACACTTTCAAGACTGCTTTTGCTTTGTGATTCACAAGTTTGTTCTGGTCTCATTCCTGCTGTAATAGTACTGTGTGGATAAGTATCTTTCTCTTGGAATCAACTGCTGTCTTGGTTTTTATTAGTTGCCACATTTTATTATTTGCCAGATCTGTTCATTTGTTCCTGACTTCTTCATCTAATTCTGCATGGGTAGTTCTGCATTCACTAAAATGTTAGAAGATGACATATATGGAGATGAAAAAGTGAAAAATACAACAGATAATAATCAGCTATTTCAAGCTACTGGGAAGTGTGGCATCATAGCTCATCACCTTAGGGAATCTATCAGCCGGCCACCAGAGCGCAGACCCGAAGGATACCTGGTCGGCCCCTGGATTGCTTCCAGAGTCAACAGACCATTGTCACTTCCTCCTGTTCTCATTCTTGTTTGTATTTCTTATTCTTCTTTTTAGAGTTTGTTTTTTATTGAATATGATTGATTTACAATGTCATGTTAGTTTCAGGTGTACAGCACAGTGATTCAGATATAGATATAGATAGATAGATATAGATATCTATATCTATCTGTATATATCTTTTTCAGATTCTTACCCCTTATAGGTTATTATAAAATATCGAGTATAGGTTCCTGTGCTCTAAAGTAGGTTCTTGTTGGTTATCTATTTTATATAGCGTAGTGTGTATATGTTAATCCCAACCACCTAATTTGTAATCCTAAATTATATTCCTTATTCTTCTTGTTTAAGGCTCTTCTGCTTGCTTTCTTCCACACTCGGGAACTTCCAAACACGTAAAAATTACAAGTTACTCCGTAAGCAATCAGGAAAATATGTCAGTTTAATCCAACTGCACATCAGTTTTCCCTAGTAAATGACAAAATCAAATATGCTTCGGAAGCTTCTGGAACTTTTAATTTTAACCCAAATAACCATTAAAAGTGAATTTAGTACATTTGCAAATGTTTGGTTGCAGCAGGCTCATACCTGAGATGTAAAATTAAAGCACTGTATTATTTATAAAGAGATTTTAGTTCTCTAGAGTAAAAATATTTTAGTACAAATCAGAATATTTCTTTGAGAAATAATCCTTTGTATTTTTAAAGAAAAAAAAAGTATTTATTGCAGCCATTTAAAGTGGACTAGGTTAATGTATTCACTTCTTACCCCTAGAGGCTTGGCTTTAAGTTTGACTTAGTGAAAATGAGTTTTGAGGCCTCGACCAACCTCTCCCTGGGTATTTGCTGATATCACAAAACCAACCCAACAATTTGTCACAGTTGTTGCCGTTTACTCAGGAAGCCCAAGAAGTACAGTCGCCTCATTTTCTCGTTTTCTTTTCCTTTCCTTGAGGCTATTCCTTTTGGTTGCAGACTCTTAGCAGCCCCAAACTTGGGGCTCACCCACATTATTTTCACAGTCCAGGAAAACTCAAGAACCATTCTTGGCAAAGCTAATGGAAGGTGCTTTGGTTATATAGTTAATAGGTTGCTGTGGCAACCCATGTGACTCATGGTGTGACTCACGGCAATTATAATTTCAGTTGCTAGCTGGATGTTTCACTAGGGCAGACCTGAGAAATTGCCACACTCAAGTTCTTTCAGGAGGCTTTCATCCAGCGCCTGTCCACCCATTGACAAACAGTCACAA